GGAAGAAGTCAGACTTTGTAAATAGGGGAAAAACTGCATTTGCAATTTACAAGAACCATTTGGGTGTGGTGGTGCACACCTGTAATCCCAGGATTTAGGAGGCTGAGGCAGGAGGATTATTACAAATTCCAAGTGAACCTGGGCTACAGAGTGAATTTATGGCCAGCCTGAGCTGCACAACAAGACCCTGTCTCAAAAGACACAAACAATAATGAAACAAACAATTTAAAAGAACCCACCCACCACAGGTGGGATTAGTGATCTACAGGAAATCATGCTGAAAGTTTGTAGTTTACATTATGACTTACTGAAAGTTTGTAATTTACTGTGGATAAGTTACTAGTGACATTGAAGTACTCCCTGGAGATCTCCAGGAAGCTGTTAATCTCAAATTTAATCAATGTCAAATAACCTATAAACTTGGGAAATGCAAACATTAAGATAGATGAAACGACACAGGTGAAAGGAGATTATGATACTGTCTGGAGTTGACAGAAAGAAAGTAATTCTTAAAGAATTTATAGAATAGGGAGATTGATGGCAAAACTTTTTGTATCCAGAATTCCCCCAAATGTAGGGGTCTTTCTTTTTTTTTTTTTACCAAATCAAGCATGTTTATTTATTCATTTATTCTTCTGCAAATACAGCAGATCTGCACCCACAATTATTTTTCATAAAGGAAACAGTAAAGTCAGGTGGAGAAACAGGTGGGGGCTGGGCCTTGAGCACAGGCAAGGGCAGAGCTGGGATGGATGAGTGTAGCCACGGTAGGGCCTGGCCAGCCCTAGCGGGTCTTCTCCAAGAAGGCTTTGCAACACGGGATGCACTACTGGTACACCAGCTCGAAGTCAGACTCGTTCCCATAATAGGAATATTCAGTGATGAGCTGTTTTTGTGGATCATAGCTCCCAAGCAGTTCAATTTTAGCTTTGCAGTTTTTAACCTGATTACTTTCTTGATTCAAATCTCAGATTGCTTTCATTCATACACAGGATATAGTTAAATGTTGTGAAGTCCTCTTTGGTCACCTGCCAGGCAATGTGATTCATGGGGATATCATGCTTCATGCAACTCTGCCCTTGATAGTTGGGGGGTTTCCCACTACATATGTAGATGTGTATGCACTATCTTCCAGTTATCAGAAATGTTTTAATCAGTTACTAGTTTTCTGAATACTGCTTCAGCAATGGGCGACTAGCAAATGTTACCCAGACACACAAACAACACCAACTTCAGTCCAGATTTAGCCATGTTCCCGCGGGGTCACTGGCACCCAGTGATCGCATCCGAAAAATTGCTTTATTTTGAACAAAAATGTGTTACTTTATATTCTCCCTTTCGAGGTTGACTCATTAGGCCCATAGTTAAAACAAACAATCTGAAAAAGCATATAGATATTCAAATTGACTAGAAACTTTTTTCTAGGCCAAATTCCCTAAATACTTTAATGCTTTCCAATAGAAGATGCTTACTCAAATAATTACATAATTCTGGTCAGTCTTCCACAGACTGGCTTTTTTCTTTCTTTTCTGAGGTGCTTTGGGCATATCAAGTGATTTTGTACAATTTTAATGGGTAGTGGTTCAACCACTTTTCTTTCTCTCTGTCACACTTCCTTTCACACCAAGTGATTCCAACGTGGCCATGAATGTTTCTGGAGTATAGGTAAAGGGAAGTTGTGTTAGTGGTATACTTAGTCTGGGTGTAGGAGAATATATATGCTATTGTTCCCTAACACTTCCGTGTATAGCTAACTCATTTCTAGGTGCCTCAGTGTAGGGATAGTTTCCTGAAACACCTGCTGCACCAATTTAGAACAGTATTGTATGACATAAAATTACAGGTATGCTAGGTAGCTAAAGAAAATATAATTTTTATAGGTTTTGTGATGCTGACATTTTTCAGCTTTTTTTATTAGTACAAGTTGCCAGCACATAATGATTACATTCATCATAGAGAACTTGTATTGAGATTTAAAATCTCAATTTTTTAAATCTCCTTTCTTCCCCCTCCCTCCACATTCCCACGAAAAGCTAATACAACTCAATGCAAAGCACATTTTATATTGATTTTAAAATAGTATTTTAGAAATATTTATATTTATTATTTATCAAATGTATTGTTTATGTTTATCTTAAATATATATAAATGTGCTTTGCATTGAGATATATTGTTACAATGAAAAATTTTATATTAAGTTATACCATAATAAAACAGTTAAATGTGCTATGATTTCCTCTCTTAAATAAATATTCTCTTTTGCGTCTAATACAAAGTAAAATAAGAATATATAGCTGGATATCTTCAAAAATCTACACCAAATATTCTACTTATAAGTGAAACAAAAAAAATTCCCTTTGAGACTTGGAATTAGGGGATCGCTATCACTGTCATTGTTCAATATTGTGTAGGAGGTGAATGTAGTAAACCAAGAAAAATGCATAAAAGATACAAGAATCAGAAAGGACGTGGGCACTTTTAAAGCATGATAACCAGAAATTTGAGCTTAGCCTGTACAACATAGCAACATAGTGATGCCCTGTCTCAAAACAAAAATATATTAAAAGGGCTGGATTATAGGTCAGTGATAGCATGCTTGCCTAGAATGCATGAGGCTCTGAATTCAGTTCCCCCAGGACTACCTCCACACACAATGGGAGGAAGTAAACTATGATTCAAGCAAAACTATAACAGTGCCCATAGAAAATCTAGAAAGTTAAATACAGATGTATTATTAGAATGGATAAATGAATTTAACAATTTCACTGGATACAAAAATCAATATGTAAAATCCAGCTGTTTCTTTTCATAACAGCCATACAAATAAAAATATAATTTACAATCCCATAAAATACATAAAGTACCTAGCAATAAAATTTACATGACAGTTCAAAAGACCAAGAATAGCTAAAACATTCTGATGAATAAGATGGAAAAACTATAAGAGGTAAAGAATTACTATAAAATCGTAGTGATTAAGGCAGTGATATAGAAGAACTGAAGAGAGAGCACAAGCACAAGCTCAAATTTATATAATATTTGACATACACATCTGACATGAGTGAAGAAAGTATACTTTTCAAAAATGCTGGTCGTATAACTAGATTTCCATACGGAAAATACAGTGAAACCCTACCACACACAATAAAAAAAAAAAAAACTCCAGATAGATACAAAGCATAAATATGAAACACAAATACAAAGTTTTTGGAAAAAAACATAAGATTGTTTTAATTTTTGGTTAGTAATTGATTTCTAAAACAAGTTGCAAAAGTGTGCAAATCACAAAGGAAAAGAATGATAATCACAGTGCACTGAAAGAACTCCATTTATCAGACACAACATTGAAAGATAGCTATAGTATCTTATTATCAAATTTAAAAGATAATAAATAGATAGTTGGGTGTGATGGTGCACACTTACAATCCTAACATTCTGAAAGGCTGAGATAGGAGGATCACAAATTCAAGTCTTTCCTGAGCAGCTTAGTGAGACACTGCCTTAAAAATTTAAAAGGCCTGAGTACATATCTCAGAGTGAAACCCAAGTTTTAAAAAAGTGAAAGACAAATCATAAACATAAACTGATTATAGGTATATCAGGTAATACACAGAACTCTAAAAATCTATAAGCAAAAGAAATACAAACAAATGGAAACATAGATTAGAAACTAGATATTTATTAAAGAGAGAATTAAATGGTCAATAGTTGAATCAAAAAATGCTCAACCTCATTAGTAATCAGAGAAATGCAAATTAAATCATAATTTCTAGAATCATAAAAATAACCTGGAAATACCTGTGGGTACGCATCTGGAGGAATAGAAACACTCACCCAAAGATCATTGGATTGAACAACTTTTTGTGAGCACTTTGGGTTTCTTTTTTTGTTTTTGTTTTTTTTTTGTTTGTTTGTTTGTTTTTTTGTTTTTTTTTGCTCCGAATGCCCTCAGGGGTGGTTTGGCTGGCTGGAGTGTTGTGGGGATCGAACTACAGCAACCTGAGGCTGACAGCTTTGTGGAAGCAGCCACTTAAACAACTGAGCTAAGGCCAGGCCCCCTTGTGAGCACTTTGGAACAGAGTTTAGCATTATGTAATAAAGCTGAACATGCGCAAATCTTAGGAATAAAATCCCTACATATATACCTTAGAGAAATAGCACAGCTATGTTTTTCTGTCAAAATTATTCCATCATCACTTTTAACAGTAGTATAATGAATAAGTTAAGATATATTCATGCAATGGCATATTATATAGCATTGTAAATGAACTGCAACTACACATATCAAAATATGTACACCTCAGAAAAACAATGTTGAAAGAAGCAAATCACAGAAGCATATATACATTCAGTTATGTCCCATTTACTAAAAGATCAAAACATGAAAAAACAAAACAAACAATATTGCTTAGATATATATATTTATAGCTGGTAAAAATATAAAGAAAAGAAGGAAATGCTTCCCCCAAATTTGGGGTTGCACTTTTTTTGTGTTCTTCTTTGGTAAAAAGAGGGATGTGACTGGGGAGGATGCATTGGGAACTTTAAGATACTGGAAATAAATCTTCTGTTATTTAGCCTGGGTAGGGAGAGGCAATGTGCATAGAGCTCCAGATTAATTATTTTTTCATGAGAAAACTTAGCAAATGTTTTATCAAGGAAATCCATGCTTTGCCTTAGGTCACAGTGATAAGAGGATGAGAGAGAATTTTTCACTAAAGAAGACTGCTATTTCCTGAAAGGGTGAAAATCCCAACAGGGAAAACCCCTATGGTTCTTATAGGTAGGGCTGGTCTACTTAAGCTGATAACACAGTTCTGTCCTAAACAGGAAGGCAGAACACACTCATTCATTCCTGGAACCTGAGGAGGTGTGCGCTTATCACATTTTAGACTCATAGATCCTGAACAGGACAAATACCAACCTAAAGAACCTCTCCAGAGTCCATATTGCTGAATCTGCCGTGCTGCTTCCAGAGGCTCCAAAACCATCTCTTGACAATGAGAAACTGGCTGGCTAACCACTGGTTCTCAGCATTATGGCTGGTAAGTGCTGTTCCATTTCCTATTAATTAGGAATCCCCACAGACTAAGAAGACATCTGTTTATTAATATTTGTAAAGTTCTTCAAGAGAAAAAGAGTCTATGGTAATTGTTTAGCTCATCATCACCACCAGTTCTCATTTAAAAAATACCTTAGGCCAGACGAGAGAACAGACACAAATGATCTGTAGCTGTTCGTGTTGCCATGTCACAAGTATTTAGAATTTTGACCTGTCTTCATTTCCTGTCACTTCTCTTCTGCCTCACTTCTATCAGTTTCATTGCTTTCTCTCTATCCTTCCTATACTGCATTCATCAAGATTTCAGAAAACAATAGAATGTTTGATATGAAAGGGAACTTAGAGATCATCGTAACCTGGTAGGACCCATTGGAAATCTATGTAACCTACTTGCCTAAATTCTTTTATTTTATTTTTTATTTTAAAAAGAGAAAAAATCATACAGAATTCCAAAACAATATGACACTAAATTAGCAATGGTTATTATATTGCATCTTGTTATCTGCAAAATAGTTGCTCAGACTACAAGATATAGGCATGCAAAATTCATCACACAGTATAAGCATTAACTGTTCCCTTTAGTGAAATAATAGAAATTAGTATATATATATATATATATATATATATATATATGTGTGTGTGTGTGTGTGTGTGTGTGTGTTTTCCCTTCCTTTTCTTCTCCTTTGCCCCATCCCAATTGTTATTTCCTTTTCAGCCATTTCTTTCCCTTTCACAATATCTATTGTACCTTTTGGATCTTATTTACTCTTTTAGTTTCTTACACTAGGGAAACAATGTGATGTTTACATATTTGGGTCTGATTTATTTCACTTGCAAGTATGGTCTCTAGTTGCATCCATGTATCTATAAAAGCCTGAGTTTATCTTTCTTTATAGGTGAATGGTACCCCATAGTATAACAGCACTACATCTTTTTTATCTATTCCTCAGTGGATATTGCCTAAATTCTAAATGTTGTAATCCCTACACTGGAAAAGGTCAAAAGAAACAGGTAAAATTAATTTGTAGCAATATAATTTTAACCTAGGGGCTGGAGAGATAGCTCAATGGAATAAGCACTTCCCTGGCAAGCCCAAGGGCCTGAGTTCAATCCCTGGTTCTGAAAAAAAAAATTAACCTAATATATTAAATTGATCTTTTCAACATGTAATCGACATTGAAAATATTTTTCCATAATTTTATTGATAAACAAATAGCAATGAGACAGTTTCAAACCAAATTGGTAGGACAGTTTCAATAATTAACACGTTACATACATCCTTCCTAGTGGATAATTGCTGTACAAGATGTGGACTTGATATCCTATTTATAAACACCATTAGAACAAATCCCTCTATTCATTAAGAGAATGTAACTATATATCTATCCCAACCACTTTGAATAAACACATACAAAATGGACATTCATCTGTGTACC